TTTGGATTCTAATGTGCTTGCTCACCCCCTGACCTTTACTGGTGAGCCACCAAACATTTTAAAAAGTACAGTTCTAAATGTGCTGGGCAGACTGCCATAAAATATACTGAGCTATAACGTTCAAGTGAATAAAATCCGGATTTTTATGACCCCATGACCTTTCATTTTACATTTTACAACTTGTAAGGCTGTAAAAACAGCAAAATTGGTGTCCAGTGTTGGTTTTGTAGTCCAATGCATTTGTAATGAACATTTTTGCCTTAGGGCTTGCTTGGAGCCTAATACTAAAAAAAAAAAAACATACTTTAAATACAGCGAACATAGGTCATTTCTGAGGCATGCTGAGACAGAAAAATGGCATTTACTTAATTCATACTGGAGGTAACCAGCAAAAAAAGTGAAGGCTATATGAGGAGAGAGGTGAACAGATGGGAGAGGAAACTAAGGAAGAGGCAGCACTGGGTCAAGACCCAGACCTAATTGAATAGATAAGATGAAAGGCAGATAGAGCTCACTAAGTGATTTAAGGCCTATAGGGCAGACACAGCAGAAAGGATGAGGACTATTAATGATTAAAAACATCTTCATGACTACAATCACAAGATGCTTCTCTTCTACCAATGTTGGATCAAGACACTAGCCTGCCAATACTGTCCTTTCATAAAAGGGTTAGGGCATTCACTTATACCTCTAAAACAGCTATTTTTCTACATTTTAAATGGGCACCCTTCACAAATTCCAAACCTTTTACACGAACCATTTTACTTTTTTCGGAAATATTTACTGCCATTATTGACCATTCCCTAAACCCCTCACCCTAATGCCGACTGTCCAATGAAAGCTTAGTAACCAAGGGTTGGATTTGTCCACATGCTGACGCAGTGTGCATGGGGCTCTATGTAGTAAGAGCAATACTCTGCACAAAGAGGGTGGTGTTGTATGTGAGCTGCAATTGTTAGCAAGCCCAGCTAACTAGTTTAAGAATGACTAAGCAATTTCAAAGGCAAAGGAGCACATTAGTTTCTAAGGTTACGGGTTACATTAAAAAAGCCTTAGTCACAACTAGCACAAGCTGGATGTGTCAGCGTTTCGGCTAACGTTAGCAACTCTGTCCCGCTTTTTTCGTTGAGAAAGGAAAAAAAGAATGACAAGGTACAATTGGAAAACACCAACATGTACATGTGCAAGTTAAACAAACAGGGATATAAACAGGGATTTTTACCACAATATCGTGTTTTGGTGTGTTTAAGATCCTTTTAGAGGATTCACATTTCAAAAACAGGTCAGCTGGAAAAAATTAAATTGCTAAATTTACAGTAAATCAACCAGTTGAGTTGCTAAGCTATATCATGTAGGCATTAGTCGGTAACAAGGACAAAAGGGCTAAGTGAAAGACTGACCTATGACACACAGAGCAGTGGAAATAAGTCAGATCCATTTTTCAATTTGTATTCCAACCACATTCTGACTGTGATAGATGGCTTTATAGTTTTAGGAATAAACACAAGCTACCAACCACTGAAGTCTAGGTCTGTTTTGGTTACAGTGCTCATTTAAAGTACTAATGTTCTATACTACAGTGGTCCCTTGCCTGTCAATACATAAGGTGTCTCATTCTCTACTAAATGTAAAAGAATGCCATTCATCTGGCTTTTAATGGAGAGTTTTAATGCTTCACAGTTTTTTCCTCACTAACAAGAACAAACCATTTTGGCATAGAAATCAATCTCAGATTTTAAGATACTGGCACAAACTACTGAGAACACATGGTGTCTCTGTGCCTTTTCAAACAACTGGAACAATATTAAAACATACTGTATACAAGCAATACCAGCACTTTAGAAAGAGACACAAATCAAATCATTGGAGCTTTTATTCCCTGTTGGCGTATCAAAATAGTACGGCTGTGAGCTATTACTAATAATATAGATGGGATAATACATCTGGGAATGTGAGTTACTGACAATCAAAGAAAGAACATTTAAAACAAGAGTGTGAGGTAACGCCTCTCTGTCTGACTGTCTGTCTGACTCTGTCTGGTCCTCTGTCTGTCTTTTTCTTCTGCTGCTTGCCCCACCCCATTCACACACAGTCTCTTTATTTTTTAAATAGAAACCCAAGAAAACAATCTACTATGCATGTATACATGTTTATAGAGGTGCCTGCACTTATATACATATAAAATAAAATAAAAGTCTAACATGGTCGTGCACACACACACATACACACACACACACACACACACACACTTTAAAATACACAGAAACCCTGGCTCTGGGCAGCCGTTCTTCTGTAATTAACTTATTTGACACTCAGTGGCATTTGCTTGAATGCATTCACACCCGCCCACACAAACACACAAGCAACAAACCCATATGCATCAAACCAAAGGTGCACACACACATTCACACTCTAACACACAGACACACACATCAACTCTGCATCCACCCTCAGCAGGCAGCTCCAGTGTCTGAGACGTGAGGAAGATGGTGAAGGTCAGACAGACAGAGACAGGCCATTAAAATTAAACAGTTGGACCTAATTATTATTGGGTGATTATCATTTTATTGCTGAAGACTGGCACTCGTTCAGTTTAAATTGTACTGGCAATCATACTGTGTTTATATGCAAGCTCTGATGTTCAAGTTTAACCATTTATGAATATTATTTATTTAGCAGTAGATGTTCAATGCATCTGCATTCTGTAACTACCTCTCTATAGTAGTTATCATTACTAGTGGAATCTGCCTTTGCACGAGGGATTCACAGGAAACAATGAAACGGACATGATTCATGATGAAATGCATGATTGCATTTCATGTGAACACAATATTTTATCATGACATGAGTATTAATGTGTTGAACAACATTGCTGACTATGGTCTTTAAACTTGAAAACACGATGAATCCTCTCAGCCCAGCAGTTGCTCTTTTTTCATTTCATTTCATTTCATTTTCATTTCTGGAGCGTTGCATGGTTGTCAACACCTTGAGGTTGCCAAGTAAACACGTCTTTTTCACATTTCTCTATGTATATATGGATTTAAAAAATGGGATCCACGAAAAGTAGTGAAATTTAGAACTCCACCCTGCTCCCAGTCTTTATGCTAAGTTAAGCTAATATCCCCTAACTCTCAGCAAGAAAGTGAACAAGGATGTTTCCCAAAATGACAATAATAACTTAATCATTATAGTTTTTATGGTTTTGTTTTATTGGTTGCCTTTGTAGTGTTTCTTTGCATTACAAGAAACTGTCAGAGGAGTGAATGATGAAGTAAAGGATGTTTTGCTGCCTAATCATCTTTACTAGTTAATGTTAGCTAGCTATAGAGCATTGCCAGTATATATAATGAACAGAGCTTCCAGGTCTGTCAAGTGAAGCAAACATGGAAGTGTCTTAAACCTGGATTCTATGTAATGGCCAGTAGGGAGAGCTCAAATGGCTGCAACAAAATACAGACACCATTCAATCTTATGGAGAAATTATCCTACTTCTCACTTGATTTATAAGCTCAGTAAACAGTTTCTTAATGTGTTTATGGTCTCAATCTCTAGTTCCAAGTCTTCTTCCATACAGCATGATGTTCATTTAGTAAATTCTGGTCCCATTTAGAGTAAAATAGACAATAAAGCAGGGTATGCTTTAGGGTGTGGCTTCATAGTGATTGACAGGTCACTCTCAGTGAGTCGGTCCAGCTCAACGCACCAAACTCAGATCAAACTTCTGTTACTGCGTTGACTATTTCTCACCTAAAATTGTTTCAGAAACATATTTTAGTGTACTGTTTATCTGGAATACAAGAACATGTGTGACCAGGCGTGCCGTCATTGTTTCCTGCTACAGACGAGTCAAAACTGCGCAGCCAATGAGAACAGCTCAACTTGCAGAACATAACATGCGCCGACAAACTGCCATTGGGACGACCACAATGCCACACTTAATAAATAAATAAAATAAATAAATAATTAAAATTATTGTGCCAAAAAAGGCCACAGACACCACAATTAAAATCTCTGGTACCACAAAATACAGAGAAGTTTACCTGCCAGTGATAGGATTAATCAGCATTGTTTTGTGTGGCCTAAAATGTCCTCTACTCCAGTATCACTTTAGTGTCTCTCAGCGTACTGTTTTGTTTTGCAGCCCAGACTCTGCTCTCCTCAATCCCATCTATAGCCCAGCAGGAAACTCTGATAAAACTACCTGCTCAACACCAAAATTAGAGAGTAGCCTGTGAACACAGTGCAGCATTTAGCACATAAAGAGCCAAATTTTCCTCTCAGGAGTCGACGGAGACCAAAAACAGAGCAAAAAAAGTGAATATTGGACTTACATTAGCCTGGTGAAGAGAAACACAAACTCAGTCTATCATTCAATTGTGCAAATTATTGTTTGCATGATCACAGGGTTCTACGTCAAATCGTGCCTAATAGTTTGGAAAGCAATCCGTGGTTTGGTGAATCCCTTTCATACTTTTACTGCACTGAAGCAATGCAATCAATGTTTCAGCTCTTGACAAATACCGTACGTCTGCTCTGCTCGCGCTCATCAGCACTGAATCCACTTTCCTCCACAGCTCTGCATGAAAAGTTTGCTTCTTAACTTCTCGAGTTATTAGATTTGACTAGCTCATTTTTCATCTTGACAGCTTCATTAAAGCACCCTGAAAAAGCTCAAAATATTTGTGTGTGCTGTGTGTGTGTGTGATCACGAATACAGTCTCCTCGCCCATTTCCCTCAAGTCTGCTCGTCCCTGACACTATTTCAAAAGCTGTTTTTTTTCACTTTCTTTCTTCCTTCCTATCTCTCTCTTTCAATATGTCCCTCTTTCACAGCCATTGTCCCTCTCTCTTCTCCATCATCCATCTCCCTGTGCTTCATTACCCTTCACTCTTCCCATCATATTCTCTACAGTTCTCCCCCGTCCTTCCCTCGCCCTCCATCTTATCATTCTTTCTTCTTCTCCTCCTTCATGATACTTTCTTTGTTTTTTCACCAGAGGAAAAGAAAAAAACACTTGTCTGCTGGCTGCCGGTTTGTCTCTAGCCTCTCTGAGCCTTTCCCTGGTTTGGCATTGGCTGGCTGGAGCATCTGCTGTATTGGTATTGGCTGGTTCCAGCAGGTGAGGCATAGCTGTGCCACTTAATCAATGCCCTGCAGTGGGGGAAGCATGTGCCAGACACACAGTGCAGCAGCAGCAGCAGCAGCAGCAGCAGCAGCAGCAGCCGTCAGCATTGGCAGCTCTCCATGAAGCTGAGCATGGGGATGGCATGACCTTCAGACAGCCGGGACTAACAGGAGAAAAGACACGCACACACATATACACACAAATACAGGCTGTGCGCGTTTTCCTTTGCAAATCACGTTCTTTCCCCCAAAATGTCTGCAGGCCACGCCCAGAGCTCCACCTTTCCTCTGCAGAGGCGAACGCTCAACTTCTCACAATAGGAGAACGGCTGCGAGTGTGGCGAGGAGGCATGGCGGGGCTTTCTGAAGGTCAAGACAAGGCTCAGATAGCACGCACAAACAGACTGCAGAGGCTGCCAGATGCATGAAACACAACTGCTATATATGGCCCAGTAAAAATCTAAAACATCATTGCATGACAATAAAAAAAAACTATTGCATTCAAAATGTAAATTGTGGTAAAAAAAAAAAGAGTATGTGTTGAATTAAGTTATCATTATAATACTATACTCTCATATGGTAAAACATTTTATAAGTTGTAAAGAGGAAACAGATTCGTACCTCTACAACAAACTTTTGTGGCGGTAGTGTCTCCACCACATCGTTTCATGGATTTCAAGGGGGATCTAACCGGATCCCACCCATTGGTGGCATTAAGGATAACTGTATAGAAATAGGTCATAGAGAGGCATCAGTATTAAATTGAGACAGTTTCATAACCAGTTAAAAACTCTGTGTAGTAAGTCCTGACATTACAAAAGATTGCAGGTAATACACACTGTATCTGTTTTAAACATCCCCTGCTTCCATCAGGCTGTGTCATAGCATTTTCCATCCCCTTTTTATTAACAATACAAACGAAACCTTTTAATGTCTATGGGTGCACTGCAAATAGGAAGTGCTAATAGCTAATTCTGCATGCTTTAATGGTTTCAGTTTGTAAAAATGTAAACAAATATAGGTTCAAAAAGATGTAGCCTACAGTTAATTCACTGAATCAGTGGCAACATTATACTTCCTGTTTACATCACCCATAGGCCCCAAATTATGGGAACTGTAGTTCCAAAACTTAGAGCATGATTATCCTCCAAATTGAAGTAAGACAAAGGAATAATAATAGGGCTTAAAATACATGAATATGAAGTGTTTTCATGTTGCTAGGGTGTAGACAGGTGGTGCAGTTGTCTAAATTTTGTATGAGTGGGGCCCACAGTGTCAGACAAGAAATATAGCACTGAGTCACGCTGATGTTGGCGTGTTGCTTCAGGTACCGGTGACAGTAACACAATGAAATACGATGCAGCCAGTTTGATTCATAGACCCATGTGTTTGGAGGCTTATGTCAGACACCAAAACACTGCAAGTAGTGCGTTTGGTGCTCTAGTAAGTATTTACAGCAGCAGTACAGGTCATCATGAGTCCACTCAGTTCAAGACCCAACCCTGACCACTAATCCCAGTATCAAGTCAGGCTGGGTCCACATAATATTCAGTCTCATCAGGACAGAAAGGGTCCTGTCTGTGTCAGTATGAATTGGAGATAGATTATTACTGCTTTTCTAGACGTCATTAATTGGTTGAGCATCATGCTGCTGCCTGTGTTGCTGTTCTCTCTCTGCATGTGGCTGTTCTTTTGAATAGGGTCTAATTATCCTTGAGTCCATTAGTTTTTATTTGTATATATATCTCTCAAATAAAATTTTGTATATTTAATTTCCTATGGCACAGAGAAAGAAGATACACTAGGCTTTGGATATACACTAATTATAAGAAGAATATGGTATATCACCAGCCAACTGTGGCTGAGGGTTTTACATTTATATTTATTCCTTTGACGCTTTTGTTCAAATGAGGTATCCCAAATACAGGTAATAATTTCAGGTAAAACCTACAATAGATGATTTTCTGGCCACCTGGAGGCAGCAGAAACTGGTTGTGTGTCTGGATAAACTACTTTGATAGTAGCTAGTAGTGGATGCTGAGATCACAGCTTTCATTTTGATCGTATACCTCTGCAGATTTTCAATGCGGCTGCCATCAAATCTACATCTATTCATCATCTAAATGTTTGCTGGGTTACAGCCAATTGGCAAGCAATCCCACATCCATTCATGCTCTTCCATTTGGGAACGGTAAAAATACCCTCTACTGTACACATTTCCACTCATTCTCCCTCTCTCCCTCCCCGCCCTTCTCCTCCTGTCTCAAACACTCCTCCCACGTCTTGTCCTCCTCCCTAACCCCTGACCTCCCCTTGCTCCCCCGCCATCCTCTCCTCTCCCCTCTCATGAGCCTCGTGCAGAGCCGGCAGGCCCCCCACGTCGTGGGCCTATTAACAGGCCTTGGTTCGCTGTAATGATGCCTCTCCTTATGTCTGTGCAGCTGCTGCAGTGCTGAATAGGGAGGATAAATGTGGGATCCTCAACATCCGCATCATTGTTTCACTGCCACTTTCTGCTGTCATGTGTGGTAGACAGAGGAGGGATGCATTTATCTGCGCACATCTAATCCATTTCAAAATGTTTTTGCTTATATATCAAGTTGGTATTTGTCTTTTTTATTGCATTGTTATTGTTTGTAGTTCTTTGGTGGAGATTTGAAGAATAGCTTGCAGTAAAATTGTTATTTTGTCCAATTTGATTTATTTTAAAAACACCTTTCCACCATAGCAAGAACACATATTTTCTCAAGGATACTTAAAGCTGCAGTAGGTAATTTTTATAAAAATATTTTTTGTCATATTTGCTGAAACTTTCACTATATCCTGACAGTAGTACATGAGACAGATAATCTGTGAAACAATCAGGCTCCTCTGGCTCCTCCTATTGGGAGGGGCCTGAACAAAAACAACCAATCAGAGCCAAGCAAGATAGTTGATCGTTCATTCTCATCCCCAGGACACCAACCCAAACTGTTCATATTTGACAACCTGGGAATGAGATATAGTGATATAGTGAACGTTACAGCAAATATGACAAGAAGTTATTTTTATAGTTCACTTATACTTTCTGCAGCTTTAAAGGACTAGTGTTATAAGCTTTAGTGGTATCTAGTGGAGAGATTGCAAACTGTATCCAACTAAAACCCCTTGAATCAACTAAGTGCGTGGTTGCGAAACTTGCAAAAAACGGAAAAGGCCCTATCCACAGCCAGTGTTTGGTTTGTCCATTCTTGGCTACTGTAGAAACATGCCAGTTCAACATGGTGGACTCACTCCCTCTGTAGATACAAACAGCTCATTCTAAGGTAACAAAATTCACAACAAATCAATTCTTACAATTCTGACAATAGATCCTCCTAAATGTTACACACTGGACCTTTAAGACTTACATATGGACTTTTCTCTTCACACCAAAAATAAAAAAGCAAGGCATAAAATAATCGAAAATCACAGAATTGGACTTCCGACAGCCATAAAAGATAAGCAACTGGCTATTGATTAAATGAGTGTGATGGATTTTATGTACTTATACTAGCCCGAATAATCCCATAATTCTTTTAACTCAAGAATATAGTGAATTGGATTCGACGATAAAACAGGAGAAACTATGATTGTTATACAGACTGTATTACAGAAATTATGTACAAAGAAAGAAAGGAAATATTCTAGTGTTGGCTCTCTTCCCACTCAAATCAGTCTTTTACAACAACAACAAACACACCGCATGTGTTTCTGCACATTTGTATCTGTGTGTACATTATGTGTCCATGTTCCAGGGGCAGCAGACAGCTGCTGCAGAGTCCGTCAGTCAGCTGCTGTATTTATAGGGTGATGACCACAGAACGCTAACAGCTGCATCACACAGGGACAGAGACAGAAAGTGAGAGGACAGAGGAACCTGACGTGTTTGACACTCATCTCTCTCAGTTCTGCCAGTGCTCAGAATGACCAGAGGACCTTTGAAATCCTGTGCAAACTGTGCATCTGCACAGGATTTCAAACAGTGTCCTGTTGGCACATCAAAGGCAGAGACAGCAGGGGAGGCTTATGGGACATGTCCACTGCAGCACTGAGGAGGATAAAGTGTCAGTTGCAAATAAAGCATTTTAATAAGGGAAATTTTCTCTGGAGTCTTGGAATGACATACGGTACTGAGCCTGAATGTGCTTTTACTGTAAAATGCTTTCCTTCCACATCAGTCTGGGCATGGGACACTGTAACACATCAAGCAGACCACTACCAGTCCGTCCTCCCAAAACCTCAAACTCTACTTAACTATGTGCAGTACTTATATGGCTTGTCAGTACTTACAGATTACTGCCAGGTGTCATCTGCACGTCCCAGTCTGCTCTCCTGGCAACTCCTGAGGAGAGGAAGAGACAAGACAGGTTAATATCTACATAATCACAGACATTATAACTGAGCCAGCTGGGAGGAATATTCTAATGATTGTACTTGAATGCATGTTTAAATATAAACGTGACCTGAACACAGTTTCTGTGTGATTAATGAGTAAAAAAAACAACAAAAGGTGCTACTTTTCATACCAACTGTCTCTTTCATTTTCTTCTTTTTGCTGATGTACTCGTTTTAATTGACAGACGTTGTTGGTCTTATGTTACAACCACCAAAGCACCTGAATTGAATGCATTAGTGGTGTTTTAAGTGTTGCCATTCTTTTGATTCTGTGATTGGATCACAATATGGACCCTAGGTAGGCAGAGATGTGGGCAAAGAATGCTACATCCCAAGTAAAAAGAGTCGATGTGGGATATTCTCAAGGGATCCCTACAATGTGTAAAAGAACCTTAATGAGTTGCCCGGGCTGGATTACCAACCAGCCAAACAGGCAACTGCTACAGGTCCCTGAAGTCCAGGGATCTTAAAAATCTCCATTGTGTGTCAACAATTCATGATAAAGGCCTTAAGGTGACTCCTGCTTCGACACGTTATCTTGACAGGGTCTAAGTGTGTCCAAATCTAGTTGTAAGACCTTCATAATTCCAGTTTTGTATTTGTATAGCAATTTGAAACTGAATTAATGTATTAAATCATAATACTACAAATCTGTGGCTGGATCATAGTCAAGCATAAAGATGTACAGTTGGCACCAATAGTGGGAGGAATGAGACAATTCTTACTGGCGCAGTAGTTCATTGTTTGTAGCAGTGCAAGATTAGACTAGCCCTGGGAGACCTTTTCCACTAGTTGGCTGGAAGAATTTGGCCAATAGTACAGACTGCATTTAAACCTGACTGAGATCTGATCACAATGTGAGCAAGACAAATGTGCCAGATGTGGTCTGGTCAATTTGATTGCGTTACGATCGCATTGTGCACTGAATTTGCACCTGACCTGCTGTTTCCTTATATATATCAAAATGCAGAATGATCATTTATATGAAGTGAAAATCGGGTAAAATATGAATATGAGACAGGTCTGTGGCTACAAAGAAGTAGGGACACAGTGGCCAGATCTGCTGGATCGGGTATCAGCCAGATGTGACCGATCAATTAAATACAGTTTCTTCTTCAAAGTCATTATGAAATTCAGTGTTTACACTATCAGTTACATCCATCAAGTCATGGAAATAACTTTAAGTTTTAAGTGCCACACAGCCAATGAGTTCCACACAGTATAGGAAGATAGCCTGAGTTGTGGTAAAAAGTTCATCTTTACAAATGAAGCTTTCATAGTGAAGGCAAAGCCGGAGAAAGACATTCAACATATGCTGGAAATAAGAAGAAATTTTGTTTTGTGATATTGCGTTGATTCTCAAAAACAGTGTATTGACTTTTGTGTTCAAACCCCCAACCTCTAGATAGCAGTGTTGTAAATGCAAACTGAGGCTATGATGTTGGATGGGACTGGATGAGACACAACATATCACGATTTACGATTTATCGCAATATATTGAATTGTATGTAATTGTAAGGCCTAGGTACAGATAGAGCTAAGTGGACTCAAATACCCATATTAGCTATAAGTATGTTCTATGAAGGTAAATTAGTACTGTTATGCTGTTCCCTTCAGCAGGGCTCTGAACCCCCAACTGCCCCTTCACACCTGCTACAGGCTGTGGTTCTACTGGGCAGAACCCGGAGTGAATATGTGCGGTTATAGGAGTGTTGAGCAGGATGAATCTGGAAAAGAGCAGGGCGTTTAATCAGATTTCACTGCATAAATAAAGGTTGTAAAAAAACAAATATTGTTCTGACTCGTGCTCAGTCACAGGCCCGCTGACCCTGAGTGGATATTTCATTTGAGACAGAGTTACTTTGTGTGCAGCGGTTGATAACCACGGTCATAGCAGTGATGCTAATTGATTTATAATCACAGTGGAGGAGACAGCCTTTCAGATGAGTGCTGTGCTGTTTACAATGTGTACAAGAACCTTAATGAGGCCGATTACAACCACGTTGCTGCTGCCGACAACGACTTCAGCACAAAGACGAAAGACGGTGACGAGGAAATGACTGCTCGGGGTTTCAGTCGCAGCCCACGTATCCCGTTAAAATATGATACATCCCATCGCACGTGCTCAGTCTACTCTGATTAATTGCCATACGGTCAGAAGTTGGCTTTGAAGCGGTGTAAGGTCGGCAGAGACAAAGAGGCACAGAGAGAGAGGTTCATCCTGAGTTTGAGCTCAGCTGTGATGTAACTGTGGACGATGGCTGTGCCGCAGTCAATTTAGGAGGCGATATCCTCAAATGGCCTCAGCCCCCCTCCTCCCTCCTTTCTCCCCTCCCTCCCTCCCTCTCTCTACCTCTTTTTTCTCCTCTCCTCATGCTGGTGCCATTTATCTCTTCCACACCCTATCTTTCTGTCTTGCTACAAAAATCTCAAACTGCCCTGTTCTACCCTCATGCAGACTCTAATATTATCTCCTCTCCTCTTCTTCCCCCTCTCTTCCCCCTCTCTTCCCCCTCTCTTGCTGTCAGCTCGTCCATGCATCACTGCCCCTGCTCTCCTCCTGCCCAGCATCCCTCCTCTCGGGCTGCAACACTAACCTACACACATGCACACTTTCAGAGAATATTGTCTCCCTCTAAATTCACTTCAATAGGACTCTGGCAGCGTGAGACGCGTTAGCATGTTGCGAACTGTCCGCCCCCGCCGTAAAGCTGCTCGTTGGATAACCTCACTGCTTTTAATAACAGTATATCCCCCAGACGTATTTAGCTCTACTATATGTTTATGGCCCCTCCACACATCTCAACCTCTCCCTGCACCACTCTCTCCCTCCCTCCCTCATTTTGTTTCTCGCTTCCATTCTACCTCCGCCGCCTCCCTTCGCCCGCCTGTCGATTCAGGTTTTTCCTGCTTACTGCTGTGGCTGGAGACACTATCGCTGATGCAGAGGAGACAATGTTGCATTTTAAAATGGATTACTTCGAACGTCAAATCATTTAAAACCCTATAAGAGCATTTTGGATGTTGTGTAACAATTCCATGTGTGTCTCCATACATTCATGTGTGTGTGTGTGTGTGTGTGTGTGTGTGTGTGTGTGTGTGTGTGTGTGTGTGTGTGTGTGCCCATCCCTCTCTCCTCTCCTCTCCTCTCCTCTCTCTCTGACTGATGGAGGGTGGGGTAATCTGCACCGGTTGCCATGACACCAGACAGCCCTTGCTTGGCGAAGGCACGTAGCTTCCTCTCTGCTCTATTTCCCCGGAGCCCTCCACTCAGGAGTGTGCGTGCATCTGTGTCTGTGTGTGTCTGTGGATCTGGGAGAGCCATATATGATGCACATGATGCACAAAGCTGAGTGGAAAAATAAAAAATGGAGCAAGGATATTTACTGTCTCTGTATGTTGAAGCAAGGGGGGAATAAAGCAAACAACACCTATCTTGAGGCAAAGAAAGGTTTACAATGCAAATATTTTCGATACATGTCTGAAAGCAGTGTTCAGATTGGAAATTACAACAGTTAGAATAGTAAAATGTTTAAATCCTCTTCAGAGGAAGACATTCTGGTGAATTATATGAACTTCAGCCATTCGTCAGTACGCTCGGACACCTTGAAACCCACTCAAGGACCCCTGGACTTCCCGCAGCAGACGTTCACCACACATGCCTACCACAAATCTTATTTTACGAAGCGGCTTGTTTCCCCTATTAACCGTTTTTCATTTTTATTCTACCTCACTGTTGAGACGGCTTTTTTCTGAAACCCGAACTGTCGGGTGGCTGGGATAGTCGGTCTTTTCAGACAACACGCAGAGTCCTGAATCACCTCATGCGGAGTCAAAATGAATGACTAGAGGCATTTGTTAAAGATTTTTCTTCAGGTTTTTCTTAATTGTTCCACTCTGCAAGCATTGGCTTTAGGAAATGCATCCCAGCAGTTGAAATATTCTAATCTGTGTGTGGCTAGAATTTATTTTTATGCTTTTCCAGACAATATGAAGCCTACTGAATCACCTCATACAATACCAATGATAGTCAAAATTAAGGACTAGGACATTTGTTTAAGACTTTTATCCTGTTTTTTCTTAATTATTACACTCTGCAGGCACTGGCTTTAGGGAATAAATTACTGCAGCTGAAACAATCACATCTCTGGGTGGCTAAAACTTCTTCTAATGCTCCACAAGTTAGGCATATGCACGTATCTGTCATTATTTCGCAGTTTAATTTAATACATGAGATTTAATTCCTCCAGCAAATAGCTGTTCCCAGACCTGATGCAATTACTTTTCTTAGTCTCAAAAGACAATCACTGTGTTTTGAACCACTCTCCTCGCAGCTCTTGGAATCCTAATAAAAGTGTCCATGCCAGCTCCTATCCATCTATCTATCTCCAGACTCCAGCCTAGATGAATAATTTAGCAGGCTATATTTCCAGCCATCTGCTTCCCTCTCTCTCTCACTCACTCACTCTCTCGCTTGCTTTCACTCCATCGTTCTTCTCTCCCCCTCTCAGTGATGTCTCTCACTTCAGATTCTGCCTCTCTTTCTTATGTGTGTGGTCAGTCATCGGGGTTCAATTCAAAACCCCAATTAGAAAATGTGCATTTTTTTCTAAATCATAGCTTTCGCCTCTCGCCGCCATTGTTATGACTGCTACAGAGTTGCCCATTATACAATTCAATTATACATTCACAGCAATAAACGTCTGGTCATTCGGGGTCAAACAAACATGCATTTTCATAATGTTTGTAATCTGAGGAATATGTCAGAACAGTGCATTTTTTTAATCACAAAAATGACTCCACATTTACTGATGCTCTTTGCTGGACAGCAGCATCACGCAGCACTGACTCTCTAATGATCCCTAAAGCCATTCTGCAGTTAATAGGAGCCAGAGGAAACCTCGAGCACACATATACATCCTGGATCAAATCATTAACCATGATCAA